AGCAAGGTCGCTACTAGGGGCTCCTGGCCATACTACTAGGAACAAGAAGCTACTGGGGGCTCCTGGCATCGCTACTAGGAGCAAGGTCGCTACTAGTTTGCCATTTCGACGAAAAAACACGCGTTAAAACATTCCACCGGCCCGGCCTCGAGTAATGAGGAGTTCGCAGAAGACCAGCAAGGGAATCACAAACGGGATATAACCTCGGGGTGTCACATAGACGACCTATAGGAACAAACACCTCCGTGGTGGCCACAAACAGTTAGGTTGGAAGCCATCGCTGGCAGGTTGAAGGCCACCATCGCTGGTAGGTTGGAGGCCATCATCGCTAGTGGGTTGGAGTGAGTTTCAACGAAAATGGAGTTGTACAATGCCGAAACTGGTTGCTCAATCGAAAGCGGTTCTCAGCTGCCTTTGAAACTATGGAATTCATCGCTGACCCAACGCTCAAAAGCATCAGGTATCAACACTGATGTAATGCTCTGACCCAATACACCTTGGCTACAAATTGCAACTGGAGGCGGAATCATAGACTCCACTTAGCTCTGTAGCAGGAAACAAACTCTACAGTAGTGTATTTCGTTTGAACACAAACATCAGAGCAGACCTCGAACGGCCTGGGCCATCGGGCTATAGACCACAGCCACCCAATCAATGAAGCGGGTGTCGTGGGGCAAGGTCACGTCTCCAGGCAGCCGCCTGGAACAGCGACTGGAACACTGGTGGAACAGTACTGTACAAGCGACAGCAGCTACGGCACTCCGTTTCTGATGAACAACTTGAACATGGCCCATCAGTGGCATCTGCTATCCCCATGAATGAACAAAACCTGAGAACGGGAAAACACACTCTGACGACTACGGTTGCATGTAGCGACATAGATTTTGCGAACGGATGGAAAGGTGTGCCCTGGCCCCGTTCTAGCTCTTAGGTCAACATGAAGCTCGCGCGCTAAAGCTCCTTTTTACCTGGTTGGGCACTTGAGCCAAAAGTATATGGCATGTACCTGTATAGCGACTATACTGGGACCCCATCCCTATTGACACCCCCCACATCCGTACTTCGACGGGGAAGGGAGATGAGTGGATGTAAAAACCGGAGAACGAATCACGTTCTCAAAAGTGTATTGGAGGTCAACCAGTATGTCCTATTGAATTGAATTAGCAAAAGATCTTGCATTCGCTTGAAAGTTGGATCAAACAGGCAATGGAGCTACAAGCGGAAAACGTGCACCTACCTATGGTATCATGCGATTACCAACGGTGTGAGACACAATCCTATCTCACTCCCATGATGCCAAAACGGTCATCATGAATTACCCAAGATCCCTCAGTACTTGAAGTACCGTAAGTGGCATGTCGGCATGACCCCAATGCTCATCCATTCGTGAGTTGTCGCATGTAGTCAGCGCCGACCAAGCCAATGTAGTCCTTGATGAGCTCAACGTTCCTTGGATTTCCCGCTCGGATCTGCTCCTCGAAGGACTTCAATTTCTGTGCTTGGATAGCGGATACCTCTATGCCATAGTAGCGGCATGCAACGAGGATCTCCTTCGTGACATTCTTCCTCTCCGATTTGATGGCGGGACTAATGTCGATGAATTTGTATGGAGCGGCACTTTCGTCATCTGGTTTCTGGTAGTAACTATATCGGCTCGCTCCGAAGGTCTTCTTGATCATGCGTCTGATGAAATTTGAGATGAATGCCAATTTCTCGATGATCTCATCCTGGGTCTCAGACTTTCGAGCCTTTGGATCACTCATGCTACGCTGAGTGCTGCCGACCTCTTTGAGGTACTTGTGGCTAAGCCCGCAGCGGATTGCAGTGATCATCATCGGGTGAACAACGTTGGCGTGGAATTCATAGATCTGCCACGCTTCTGCTGCAAACACGTCGTCGGTCCATCTGCTCATGCCTACGACCTCGGCTCTCTTGAGACGTCTTGGAAACCCAGTATCCGGATCTTTCGGTACTATTGGCCATCTATTGTGCGGAGTGTCATGCCGCTGTCCATCGTCGAACATTCGCAGTACATCTTCACGACTCTCAAAGCAGTTGATGTCGAACGTTGCGTTGGCCAATCCCTTGATCAACTTCATCAACCTCAAATCAAATTGCTGTGTGACGGCAAAGTTGTGGTCGATGGGGATCGCAGCTTCTTGCGGCAGTTCGTCAATTGCGAAGGGGAAAGGCTTCGGAAGTTCATTCCCGTATCCATCTTGAGGGACCTCCCGATACTCGGGTTCGCCTTCAGCTTCGTCCGGTCGTTCCTTCAAAATGATAGGAACTTCCTCCTCTTCCTCTCCTTCGGATTCCTCGATCTCAATGACCTCTTCGGCTGTCTTGCGTGCGTTCTTGATGACTTCATCGATGTTTGCACCTGCAGCAGAGGTGGCTTCACTGGAAGAACTGGCTGGGACATCTTTCGGAGGTGATCGTTGATTGCGGTCCCTTGTCTCCTTGGGTACCACATGTGTGAGCTTCCCATTCGCGATCAAAACCGCTACGCAGTGCGGACATATCGTCAATCGCACATCGACTTCGCCAAGACAGTTAGGACACGGCCTTGAGTCATAGTCTTTCATCGCTCGGCGGTACACGATCTCCTCGAAGAGTTCCTGCCACTCGGTGTTATCATACTCTGGGTAAACACCACTCTCCTCGATCATACCCAACAGCTTTGAGATTTTGGCGTCGTCCTCGGAGTAGGTATCGTCCTGAACCTCAACCGCTAAGCTCTCAAGCTTTTGAAAGCGTGGAATCATGATCGGGTTTCCGTATTTGGACTCTAGAACAAGGTAGCTTCCAGGGTCGGGTTCCCCACTGAGTAACCGGATCCATTCGATCTTCTCAGGCTGTCCGGGTTCCGCATTGTCGCATTGCAACCATGCCCCTTTAACCTCATCGAAGGGAACGACGTTTTCAACCAATAGAGAGCCAGTCGCTGAGATGAGAAGTCCGTACTCCTGCAGCTTCCACACCGGAATGTAGAGAACCACTGGGCGATCACTCACTGCGACCTTACGACCCAGCCAAGGTTTACCCTTGTAGCCCTGCTCCCAGGCCCATGGCGGAAAACATGTGAAGTGGATAGAATCCCTTCCCGATGAACCGAGACCTCCCGGCACTAGCCCTCGTCGCATGATTGAAGTCAGCGCTCCGAGATTGGTAGCGTGAAATGCAGTCACCATAGATAGGGCCATGTCGTTGGTCATTCTCGACCCAATGTGGTCGATGTCAATGGTAACGTCATAACCTCCGCCGTCCGTTGAGTGTGCCGAGGTTGCTCTTACAGCCACGGGAAAGCACCATCCATCGCTATGGTGGAGTCTTCCTTTAGAGATTCCCATGTCCTTGAGTTCGTTAATCCATTCCTTCTCCATCGGGTCATCAGGCTCATTGAGTTCATCAGGGTGAACGCGGACCGCCAACATTTGGAATCTGACCCTCTTGGTCATGCGGAAACACTCATAGTTTTGGTCGAAGTACTTCTCCAAACGCGCCTTCTTGGTCACGATATCTATGTTGCCATAGTGATAACCGTCTTCCCAAACTGCATTATCACCTAACAGGTCTTCCCATGACACCCATGCGCCTTCATCGCATTTGATTGGTGCGAGTCTCCCTCCTGTCCTGAACTGGCGTCCAATTCGATGCCTCAACTTCGCTCCCAATCGACGACTCAGGGCCTGGCTCGTTTGGCTGTATTCACGTACTCGACATTCTGGAGTCGGATACTTGTGGTTGCCATAGTCGGAGTTCTTTGCAGCGAAAGTGACTCCGTTGATCGGTACTAGTTCAACTTTCCCGACCATCGTCATGGGGTCGATCGGCTTGTATCCCTTCTCCCTCCGTGTTGGTAGGGGATAGAAGTGATGACATGCCTTTGGTGAGAGGGAACTGGAGTGCACAAATGCCTTCTCGACAAATTCGTACACCTCTTTCATATCCTTAGGGCCTGCTTCCGCAAGCTTCCGCCCATTGTAGGAATGTGGTCCTCCTTCGACTCCATCAGCACTTTCGATCAAGGTGAATCCGTCATGGTCGAACATTGTCACGACTCTTGCTTTTAACATTTCTTTTCGCCTGAACTCGCTGTCGACCTTCCTATCTGGAGTGGGCGATGCTCTCTGCTTCTTCTTCTTAGGCTCCTCGGTTGGATGTCCAGATGGTACATCGTCGGGTGCAACCTCTCCCTTCACTCTCTTCTTCCAATCACTCAACACCGAGGTGACTGAAGGTGAAGATGAAAGGGTCTTCTCGCAATTGAGAGTTGTGTGTCCCGACTCCATGCAGTGGATGCAGAATTCTGCCTGCCCGATCTTCCTCTCAAATTCGTCGATGGCTTGCAGTATTGATGTCTTCGGGTCGGACATGTCAACATCTTGCTCCTCCTTCTCCTGTACACCTTCAGTCTCCATATCGACACCTTCGGCCTCGGGCTCGCCTGTGGCTTCTGTTCCCTGTTCTGGTTCTTTCCCAATTTCGAAGAAGTGGTCGATGTCGAATTCAGGAAGCGGCATAGTCCTCATGCGAACGAGAATCAGTGCCACGTTTGCCGCCTCATCAGAGTGCGGGTCCATGGTTCTAATCATCGATCGCTTTCGGTTCTCATACGTTGTCCTGTCGTACAGCGATGCAGTGACGCGTTTGATGGATTCCTCTAATCCCGTCCTCAAAGCTTCGATGTCACCCCATCTCCTGAACATGTGCCTGAAGAGTTGAGCAATTTCGAACATGCCCAGCAGCGCTTCCACCATGTCACCTACCCGTTCCTCCGTGGGATCATCTCCGAATATAGTGCGGAATACATCGGGTTCCAGTATGGTCTTGAGGTATTTGGTGTAGCATACGTTGCCAAGGTCATAGGATCCCTGGTAGTACTTGGCGCTGCCGACTATCTGCTTTTCCACATGGATGCTGGGTCCTCTCCTCGTTTTGAAGAAGTTCTCCGTCATTGTTGATGACAACCTGATCCCCCCGAAGAACGAAATCTCCTTCTGGAAACCTGGATTCTCATTGAAGATGATCATCGCCTCGTGTAAAAACTTCATCAAGTCATCGTGCGGGTTCATCTCGGAGATTACGATGGTGGGAGAAGATACCGTTTGCCCCATGCCAAAGTTGTGAAGCAATCGAGCACATGCATGAAATCGCTTCTGGACGTAGTCTTCTGCGGACATCCCACGGCATCTGTTTGCTGCTCCGTTGATGCATTCCGCATAGCAATCGTCTTTCAAATCGGAGTCTATGGGATTGCAGAACAGACAGTAATCGCAGCAAATTTCCTCACCCTCCTTAAAGTCATCAATGACGTACCACCTTTGAGTCCTTGAGTATATTGGTTCTGGCTGAAGGACTCCCCAGTACTCATCCATCCATGGCATCTTGTTCTCTCTCCTTACCTTCTCCCTCTTCCTCCTCTCAGACTCATTCTCACCTGAAGGCTCCGCAGTGGACTGATATGCATGGCTTCCTCTTACGGAATCTCCGAACAAGTACTGATACAACCTCTCTTTGTCCTGCAACACGTGTTCCAAGTTGGGATCATGGAGGCTATTCGCTTCGGTCAAGGGATCCGGTGCCATAAAGCAAGAAGCGAGCATCTTTTCCCTGAACAAGTGCTTTTCCATGACAGCGTGGACCAAAGAGGTTCCAGACTTCATAGAGTAGGGGTGACCGCTTCCGGCGACCGAAATGGCTCGCCAGAATCTGTCCGATGTTGTGGACATCATGCCATTCAGCGACAGCTCGTCCTTGATCATGTTGGCGATCTTACCGAACGAA